TAGATATTCTTTCAAAAAAATATGCATATATTATATTAAAGCAAATATGTACAAATTAGTATTGAAAAATTTATATGGATTTTTTATATCACATAAAAATCTAAAAATTATACAAAACTCAAAATTATTATTCTAATTTATGCTAAGCACACGTGCGATTCTCAAGTTTTTCTATGACAACAGAAAACTTGTTGCCTTTAAGCAAACATAATATTTACTTTATTTTTCAAAAATAAAAATAATAATAAATATATATACATAAATATATATTTATACTAAACAACATAACTAGGTCCTAGATACTAATTTCATGCCACTTTATCCAAAGTTTAGAAAACAAAATTTGTTTTTCTGGCTATGCTTCGTTAAATTTTATTTATAGAAAAAAAATTTTTAAAAATATTTTCTAAGAAATTCAAAAAATTAAGTTATTAATGATGTAATTTTACAAAATTAAAATATATTAATTAAACAAATATATTAATTAATAATTTCATTTTATATAGCTTCAACATATAGATCTTATGAAAATTAATTGTATGTGCGGGTATTTTTTTGATAACCTGAGTTACTTGTTATCTGTTAAAAAGCAATTAACTAATTTTATCTATAAGACTAAAGGGCAAATTATAGCATTTTAACCTTTTTAGTAAGAATTTATTTAAATAAAAAAAAAAATAATTCATTCAAAACCTACTACACCTATGCATATAAAGAAACTTATTAGTTTGGTTTTTTAGTTTTATTATTTGCTCTTAAATCAGCATAATTTATGGTTCATAACTTAGTGTTCTGTTTCAGTTAAGAGATATTTTCTACAAGTATTTGATTTAATATTTGTGTACCAGAATACAGTATACCCGGTTCAGGGTCGTCTGCATTATTCAAAAAATTTTTTCTAAGTTTTAATATTTAATGCAAAATAAAGTAGGTTCTGAGTGGTTTCAGATTGATTGTAGAGGAGTAACAAAAGCAAATCACTGCCGAATTCATAAATCTGTAGCAAATGAACTTGGTTTAATAATGACATGATGAGATGATGGCACTCAAACTGGTATATTTCAACAATATTTTTTCTTTTAATAATTTTTTTTTCAAATTTTATATTAATTATAAAATATTAATTATATATGCTGAATTCTGAATTCTTATGAATGATCTACAAGTTTCATAGTTGAAATAAAATAATTAAAATTTGTTTAAAAATTTCACGGTGTTTTATGTGTATGCTTTCATGTTCTTCTAGATATTCCATATATGTAGTATGTATAAATAATATGCATAAATAATATTTTTGAATATTTTTTATTAATAGGAAACAAGTTCATTTAGTTTGATAATTAAGATTAATTGATTTTTAAAACTGAAAATAAATATTAATTATTTCAATTATGAAAAAATATCATTGCGCACAGTGTATGAAGACAAATGGCAAACATTTTTATTAAAATTAAAAATCATTTTTAACATTTATAGTAGTGAGCAAAAAATATTTTTAATGCAACAAAGTTTTTTTTTAATAAAATTGATCAATATTAATAATTTATTAACATTCAGAGATTTTTTTAATAATTTACTATACAAAATTATAAATATGTACGTATTTAAAATTTACTCATTGCATTAAAGGCGTATATGGAGCGCATCCATTAATTAGTTACAGTCTCAAATACTTAGAGAAACTGTGTATGATTGTAGATTTAAAATCAGTTAATTGCATGTACCCAGATTCCCGAAATTACATTTTATATCCCAAACACTGATTCGGTCAATCGCTATTATATATTACGCTTGATGAGATCGGCTTACTTTGGAAGCGACAAAATAAATTTTGTTTGTTTGATAAGAATTTTTTTAAAGTTTTATTTAATAAGTTGATATTTAATACAAGATATATGACTAAATGTATTAGTACAAGAAAAATATCTAGCCCTGTATAATGGGTTTTTATGTTGGCTATAACGCCAACATAAAAAGAATAACAAAGGACGAAAACATGGCTGGATATACTGCATCTCAACGTATAAGTTCGTTGGAGCACAAAGTAAAGGTGCCTGCTGATAGATTACAAAATATGCTTTGACATTGTAGTTAAAGACTTAAAAACACTAGGAAGTCCATCCTTATGATAATTCTATTATTAATTATTTAAAAAAATATTTTTTTATCCTTTTTCTTTTTAATTAATCTTGACTAAGTCACTGATTTATAGGAAGATGTACTTTATCAGTTGGGAAGCCAATGGTACTATATAGTTATAACTATATAATATAAAAGAAAAAACATAATTTACCTTAGTAGCAGTCAGACACTTAAATAGTACAACTATTCAATAAATATAAACTATTCAATATATAAAAAAAAATTAGTTGAATTAATAGCAGAATTTTATGTGTTTATTTATCTATAAATAAAATAAATAGCAAGTTATTATCTGAAGAGAAGAGGAAGAAATATTTATAGGTTAAAAAATTTTTAAATTATTTATAAAACTTTATTCTGCCTTCATAATTTTTGACTATTTTTATTATAACACATGTACCCATGCTTTATTTAATAAAAATCATTTCTTATTAGTAATGACTTTCTGCAATTTGGAATATTGTCGAAATTCATTGATATGAAGAAAAATCAATAAATAATTACCGATAATAATGTAAATTATTCTCAGATTTCGAATATTGTCGATATTACCCAGTATGGTGAAAACCTACTAAATTATAATTAATAATATTAATGATAACAAAAATTATTCTGTAACTTGGAATATCATTCATACTCTTCGGTTTGGAGAAAAATTAATAAATCATTGGTAATAATAATACAAATTATTTTCAAATTTGGAATATCGTCGATATTCTCTGATATAGAGAATATAGGGAATAATCAATAAATTATTACTATTAATATTACTAATAAAAAAAATTATTTCCCGGTATGGAGAAGAATTGATAAATAATGACTAATAATATTAAAAATTATTCCGGAATTTGGAATATTTACTCGTGTGAATAAAAAGTAAGTAAGTCGCATATACAAGGGAGGATTTTGGGGTTTAAGCTTACCTTTAAATATTAAAGACTAAACAAATATTACTATAGGTGAATTGTGAATTTGTTTTGAAAAGCGGCTTTTAAAGGAGTCTTTATCCTGTTTTTTGATTAAATATACTAAGGATAATATAGTTTTGGACAAAAGTATAAATATTATTAAATTATTTATATTATTTAATCAAAAGTAAACTATAATAATATATATATGTATTATAAATTTTCATTTAATATATATATAAGTGATATATAGATAATATATTACATTTAATGAATATAAATTTCACTCACTAGAATATTGCATTTTTGTTGTTGTGATTTACTACTGTTCGATGAAAATCTCTATGGAAAACAATAGTTTATATAAGGAATTTACTTTCTTTCGTCAAAGCGGACTTAAGGGATCAACTTACTAAAGACTTAACCTTTAAATATGTATAATATCAATTCCAGTTCATTTAAATTTTTGTGTAGAATCATTACTTACTAATTAGTTTTAAAAATAAATTTAAAAAAATATGAATAATATAATTGACTCTGCAAATGCTGTCTAGTAAATCTTTTACGTGTTTTGTAAAATTCATAATTCATTATTTGGAAAATCTGTTTGTATTTTATATTCATATACCATTGGTTTCTGAAAACTGCAACGTTTACACATATTTTCTTATGAAAAATACTAAAATGTTGAAAAGCTAAAATGCAAAAACATCAAATTAATTAGCAAGACTTATTGACAATATAACACCAATTATGTACGATTTGGTTTCGAGGCACAATTATCTCTAATAAATTTTTGCTAATGCTTATAATTAAGTTGTAATAACATTATTAAACACAAAGATACAGAAAGATACAGAAAAAAAATGTTAATAAGCCTTGTCAATAAACAAATTTCGATACAAATCATTTTACCACAGGCGCAACAATAAATATGCAAAGTATTTCTGCTTTTCGGTTTTACCGGATCAGCAACGACGAGTAACAACCCACGGATTACTACTGCATTGAATCGACCGGGATGGTGTCGAGATAAGCATAACTGCAACTGCATAATTGCAAAAAATTTTAATTTAAAAAAATAAGCAAAAAATAATATTAAATTTTTGTTTTTTTTCTCTGCAAATAGCAAATATACAAATGAAATATTAACTGGCTTAGAATATAAATAAATTTATTAGCTGTTCGGCATACGAGTAGTATGCGCTAAATTGACCTCTGACAAGACCAAGACCGCCTAGTGCGGTCACTAAAGCATAAGCTAATCATTAGGAGTATTAGATATAAGCATACAATACATAATGCGAAAATCGCATATAACTACTGAAGGTCAATTAAAACAGCAGTAATGTCGCCTTTTTAACAAATTACCAACAACTTGGCAACTAACCACAGCGAAAAAATCAAAATCACAAAAAAAAAAAAATTAAAACACAGAAGATTAATAAATAAATACATTTTGCTGACAGCTAAGCCGTTTGACTAACCCAGCATTTAAGAAGTCTTCTCAGCTCTACGGCTAAAATAATGATCTTTTCATGCGACACTGACATACGCCAAAGAGTATGCATAAATTAGCATTCAGTCGTAGTGCCTGAGTTGAGGAAAAAATTAACAAGAAAATTGAAACTAAGGAGGAGTAGATTCTGTGGCAGGCGCAGAGGTCAATGCAAATTAATGCACCTCTAGAATTTATTAACACACTAAATTTTTGTACCGAATTTCATCGTGCTATCGATATTTTGATTAGGAAGAAACCAGATTTAGTAATTTATGGAATTCAGGTTCTATTTGTTTTATTCTTTTGATATTTATTTAAGTGTTGACAAAGTTGAGCCACTTGTCTTCATGTTTATGCATTGTTAGAGTCTTAAATTATACTTAATTTTTAATTCTATCAACCTTAAAAGTAATGACAATGATAAATTTATTTGTTCTATTTCTTTACAGAACTGTGACCCCGAAACAGATGTTTGTTGTACATATCGCCCACCTCCAACAACCACAACTACAACACAAAGACCTTTCATTACTTGTCCTTTCGATTCGGATTGCGTTTCGCCAAGAGATTGCTACAATGGCGAAATTGCATCTGCTAACTATGTGAAGAAACCATCGGTAAGTAAAAAGAATTTTTTTTAAATTTTTCTGTTATTTAAAATTATTTATATATAATATTTATAAATTATATTTTATCATTATGTTGATTTTTTTTTTGCTGAGAGTGATGCATCTTATAACAAAAAGAAACTATTTAAAAGCTAGAAGGGTTCGCATAGAAATGCAAAGACCACAACAAAAATTTAGTTAATTTATTGTCCGCCAAATATCTTCAGTAGGGTCTTCAGTAGTTTATTGAGTTTATTAATAGATAAGAAAAAGGTCATTCTTTTTTACTTAAATCTATAAAATGTCAGTTGTAACATCTGATATATATAGTTCCATAATATTAGCCCCAAATGTAGTTTTACTACCATTTCTTAAATTGATTTTAATTTGCCTTCTTATTTATACGTATTTAAGTTCACAAAGAATTGAAAACTAAGTCTTATTCTTATAAATAATCTTAACTTATAAATAAATAATTGCTCGACATAAAAATAAAAAATTAATTCAAACTCTGAAATCAATTACCGTTTTTATAGGAATTGTTTTTTTTTTCAACTTTAAAAGTTTAACTCGTTTGAGAAAATTTTGATTGTTTTGCTTAATAGGAACTACCAATTATCGTAAATTTTAATATATATTTTTTTTTAAATCAGTTAAAAGGTATTTTATGATCATGTAATATTGATTGGGATCTTTATAACAATGTATGTTTATTTTTATTGTTCTTATATAATACTATTGTATTAAATTTTTAAAGTTACAAGTACTTGAGCAATTTATTTTTACCTTCAAATAAATAAACAATTTATTTTAAAAAGGCAATCCTTGAATATAATTAAAAAAAATTTAAGAAATTAGACTTTAAAAAATATTTAAATTTAAAAAAAAATTAAAACACTCCAGTTTAAAAATTATTTTATTAATTTCTATATGATTAGAAAATTAAAAATAGTGACGGTTACGTTATTTGTTTTAATTTTTAAATCAATTCTTATGGAGAGGTTTAAAAAAGTAGTGAACTACAACAACAAAAATTCAATTATTATATATATTTACACTATCCATTTTCACAGGACTTTTGTATAAATGAATATTTAAATATAATCTTTTAACCTATATATAAATAGAAGTATATATCTTTCTATCTACTATATATCTTTCTATATTCTACTATAAGTGACCGAAATAAATATGTAACTATTCTTATATAGGGAAGAATATAAATGTTACATATATATAAATATATAACATTTTACAATATGTTTAAATATAATAAATATATGTAATATTTATACAATATATATATAAATATATATATACATATATATATCACAATTGTCAATTATTTAATTAAATTAAATGCAATGTAGACCAGTTTTGCCAATTCCGTTGAGTTTTTCTTATTTTAACATTATTTTTTAAATAAAATAAGTTTTATTCCAATTTATTTAATTCTTTTTTGAATTCTTCACATATAAACTTAAATATTTAATCAAACTAATTTTTATTATATACGTGAGGTCAAAATTTATTCAAAGCAATAAACATAAAACTTGATACCTTTATCTTCATGTCAATTACAAAATTATGCAAAGTTCAGCATTTGTTGAGATTATTGAAAATTTATGTTTAAAGTAAATGCATATTTTATTACATTTTTGTATAATTTTTGAGGCCATTTACGATTTTAGTAGCCATTGTTTACATACATAATTTGATGAGTATCAAAAATGAAAGATTGACATTTAAGATGCAAATACCGTAGTCATAAGGAAATAATGTTATACAAAAGTTTAATATATTTCGATATAAATTCAGTAGAAAATTTATGATTTTAAGAAGTACTTTTTTGGTCTTTTTAAGGTCTGTAAAAATAATTCACGTTTTAAAAAATAATTTATTTAATTATTAGATTTGAATGAATAAACAATTTAGTATTAACGTTATTACATATGTGAAAATATACAATATTTAAAATTATGGTTGAAATAATTTCAATTTGTTATTAATACATCAATACAGACAATTTGTATAGTCTCTTTGAATGGAGAATGATGAAAATTCTTGTATGTCCCGAGCAGAATACTATGACGAAACGTAACGCTTCGTCGTTTATAATTCATTTAGCTCAACGCTATTTCTTGCGTCAACCATATTTTTTTCCGGAAAGAAAAATCTTCTAAATCTTCTAATCTTCTTTTAAAGTTACAAAATGGCCCGTACCATTTGCATGCCCGATTCATACACTACTCATTGAGTCATACATGCCTACAGACTAAAAGGTTCCCACATTTTTAGCTCAAAATCCTGGAGATCCCTGTAGTACAACAAGTTAAGATATTCCTTCATATGGCAGATTAGAAAACCACTTAGCGTACTTTTACTTTGGTTGCTAACTAAGTACTTCGTCCGCTTTAACAATCTTTATTATTCTATAGATTATGCACTTCTAAAGTCTCCCCACTTCAGTGTTTGACAACATCTGCTTCACCATAGAAGATAGGTTGGTTTCCTCGATTAGTGTCTCTAGATTTTGTCTAGTACCAACAAATCTTATACAGTCTCTAATAATATAGTCGGAACTCTCACTTTATACTGGATAAAACTGTCACTACCGATTACTTGCCAGCCTAAGTATTCGTGGAAGCATCAAGCATCGTAAGAAGCCACGTTAATTGAAATCCCAAGTCTTTAGTTCTAATCGAAATTTTTATACTTGGAATTAACAAGCGCGTTCATCTTGATTATTGAGAATGATCCCACCGATGTTGCCATTCATTAAGGTATTTGTCTTTTATTTCTAGATAAGAATTTGACAGAATTTGTCTTGTTCTAATCCCAACTTTTATATTTGAAATTAGCGAATACAAATCCATCTTGATTATTTAAGAATGATCCCACCGAATATTGTCATTCATTAAGGTATTTGTCTATTATTTCTAGATAAGAATTTAACAGAATTTGTTTCCAGTTGAATCCAAGCTTTTATATTTGGAATTAGCGTGTGCAAGTCCATCTTGATTTTTAGGGACTGATCCCACCGATTCATTAAGGTATTTGTTTCTTATTTCTAGATAAGAATTTGACAGAGATTGCTCAACTATTTCGTTATTTTTAGAAAAATAATTTTAGTGACGTTTAATCTTAGTTCAACTTATTTACTTTCATTCTTGGTAACTTTGTCACATATACAAACCTAACTTTTATAAGTAGTATCTCAATAAGACTGTTTCTGTTTGGCTTGACTAGTTACAGAATTGTTAATGAATGCTTTGCAACGATCATGAATTCATACTATTAATGTTCATATGAAAAGTACTGATAATCTATAATACATAATAGAATCTAATTAAATTTTCTGATCCTTAGTAATATTTAAGTTACAAACATATAAATTTAATAAACATGATAGCGTTAAATGGGATATTGCGTATTGAGTATTGGATCAACATATAGAGAAAGCTATGACATGATAACGAGTATATAATCATATGTCCTATAGTCATGTAGAGTTTGTTCAATATTCAAATCCTTGTTATAGTTTAGAATTCTTAGGCTTATAAATTTATTCGTTTAGTAAAAATAAAGGAATGAAAAAAAAGGAATGAAGTGAAATGTCATCAATACACGTTTTATCCATAATAACATCAGTTTGCACTTTAGACGAAATTGTCACAAAAATTTTAAATACTTCTTTTTTTAATATCGACACATATCCATGTAAGTATTTTAAGTATTTCAGTTTTTTGTTGAGTTTTCTTATTGTAAATGAAATATGCAGTCATTGACGCCAGCTTGCATCCAAATTAACTTTATGATGAGGATCTCATTACATATTTTTCTGTTACGAATTTTTTCTTCAAAAAATTTTAAACAATTTTTGATTTTTTCTTTTTTGGGGGAAAAAATGCAAAAGGCTCATTTTCTGCTTGTTTTAAATCAAACAAGTTTATCCATAAAAATTCCTTAAATTTATATTAAATGGAAAAAAGCACTGAAGGAGGCAAAACAGGAGTGCAGAGGCTTAAATAGTCTTCAGTCTTCTTTTTATTGGTGTTGTGGAATATTTTTAGTACTGCACTTGCTTGAAATAATTTTACAAATGAAATATGTGAAAAAGGCACGGCAAGGTCGTCAATGGCGGAGGCTGGTACAAGCGCCTTAATGCACTTGTTCGCGTATTGCCGGTTTATTTATTTTGCACTGGAAACTGAAAAAAAACTTAAACTTTTACGTATTTACTACCCACTTCTGTTGGTTACCTCTGCAGCTTATACCGCGTACAATAAGCGTTTTCGTATTACCAAATGCCTAGCGGATTTGTTTAAATTGTAGTAATATACCATAATCAAAACTTCATTGCCCGAGCCCAATGGCTCTTAAATTTATAGGTTGAAATGGCATTTAGAGATTTACAAAATTTTATTTTAATACGGCAATTAAAAAAATAAAATTCTTTAATATACATAGTATATATGTGTATTTTTTGTTGACATTGAGATACTCTCGTGTCGTGAATAATTTTAGAAAATATATAATAAAGATGTGCTATAATTGTTATATATTAAAATAATTAAGTGCTTCATTTATAATAATAATTATAATTATTTTTGAAATTGTTATGTGGCATACTTAAATATAATGCAGAAAATTATAGGGAAGGAATTTTATACAAAATTCGTACTTGAAACAAGGTACGAGTGCAAACCTATGTGCCATTAACATGTCAGTGGAAACAACAGAAAATTTAATAATTATTTAATTATAAATATCCTTTCAAAAAAAGTAAGAAATAAATAGTATGTTTAATAAAGATATCTTCCCAGTAAAATATATATTTATGATAAATTATATATGTCCAAATTTTTGGACCTAATTTGTCAACACTGAAAATTGGTTTATAAATTCGAAAAAAATACGATTCAGTTTACTGATAATAACTACAGTCATATAATTTTATAATTTATTGAATTAATTTATAAATATTGAATAAAATAATAACAGGAAAG